GATTCCTCCGGATGCCCTTGGCTTCTTCTGGGCCCACCAGGATTCTTTTGGATTGTCAGGATTCCTCAGGACACCTCAGGACTCCTCAGGGTTCCCGAGGACTCCTCAGGATTTCCCAAGACCCCCCCCCTCCAAAAGAGTACCATGGATTCCTCCTCAGGATCCACGATGATTCCTTAGGATCCCCCAAGAATCCTCAGGATGCCTGAAGACCCCGAAGGAGCTCTGAGGATTCCCCAGGATCCCTTCAGGGTACCCCTCAGGATTCCTAAGGACTCCTTTCGCGTTCTTCAGGATCCCCCAGGATTCTCCAGGACCCACAAGTCAGTCGGAAGCCTTGCACCAGACGGTGCGCTAGCAGAGGTGGAAAATGCATCAAATGCGACACGATTGCACTGCCGACGCCCACGCTCGCGCTGCACCGCCCTCCCTGAAAATCCCCTAGGCTTCCTCTGGGCTCTCATCAAGACTCCTCAGGATCCCCTCAGGATTCCTCAGGACCCTTCAAGATTCCTCAGGATTCCTCCCGAGTCCTTAGGATCCCTCAGGATCCCACAAGAACCCGTGGGACCCCCAAGGATTCTTCTGGATCTCCCCATGGGGTTCTCAGGATTCCGTTGGGCTCCTCTGGGTACCCCTCAGGATTCCTCTGGACTTCTTAGCGTTCTGCAGCATTCCACAGGATTAATTAGGATCCCCAAGACTTCCTCTGGACTCTTCAGGACTCTTTTGGATTCGTCAGGATTCTTCAGGATCCATCAGGATCCTTCAGGATTCCTCCCGAGGCCCCAGGGTTCTTCAAGGTCCCACAGGAACCCGTGGGACCCCAACGGATTCTCCTGGATCTCCCTCGGGTTTCTCAGGATTCCGCTGGGTTCTTCAGGAATGCTCAGGACATACACGGATTCCTCCGGATGCCCTAGGCTTCTTCTGGGCAGGATTCTTGAGGACACCTCAGGTCTCCTCAGGATTCCCGAGGACTCCTCAGGATTCCCCAGGAGGCCCCCCCCCTCCTCCAAAAGGGTCCCATGGATTCCTCCTCAGGATCCACGATGATTCCTTAGGATCCCCAAAGGTTCCCCAGCATGCCTGAAGACCCCGAAGGAGCCCTAAGGATTCCTCAGGATCCCTTCAGGGTACCCCTCAGGATTCCTCAGGACTCCTTTCGCATTCTTCAGGATCCCCCAGGATTCCCCAGGACCCACAAGGATTCCTCAGGATCCCTTAGGCTTCGTCTGGGCTCTGATCAGGACTCCTCAGGATTCGCAGGGATTCCTCAGGACCCTTCAAGATTCCTCAGGATTCCTCCCGAGTGCCCAGGATTCCTCAGGATCCCACAAGAACCCGTGAGATCCTCAAGGATTCTTCTGGATCTCCCCATGGGGTTCTCAGGATTCCGTTGGGCTCCTCAGGATTCTTCAGGATATCTTTGAAGTCTTCATGATCCCCTAGGATTCCTCAGGACATCTCAGGATTCCTCAGGACACCCCAGGATTCCTGAACTCCCCATAGGTGCCCGTGCAAAGTGTTTGCGATTATCTCTGCCAGCTGCGCGCCACTTCTTACCGATGGGCTCTATGCCTCAACAGCGTCGCAATCCAAACTGTTGTCCTTTCCTCCCATCCGTCTTCTCTTCTCATAGCGAAGTACACGTTGTAGGTAAAAAGTATACCCTAATGGGGTACGATCGAAGACGAAGAGGTCGGGCATCGAGGGTTTAGGATATACGTGATGAACGGCACGCGAGCAGATAAGAGCGAACATTATTTAATTGATTGTTGTTGTTATTGCCGTTCTTGTTGATCTGGTTGTGGTTGTGGTTGTGGTTGTTGTTGTCGTCGTCGTCGTCGTCGTCGTCGTCGTCGTCGTTGTCCTCGTCGTTGTGTGTTGTTGTTGAATATTCGTTTCTAGAGGATGATGATTATTGATCTCCGGAAACGGTTCCGCGCGCTCTCTCCTTGACGCCGGTTATAGTTTCTCAGAAATCTCTGGAAACGAGGCTCCCGCGCGAGCGTTGGCTTGAGTGTAAATGTGGGCCCTTGGAGACCCGGCTACGCCGACAACGGCTCCCGCTCGATATTTTTCCACAGTTTATCCCGAGACACCCTGGCTAGAGGGGCCCCAAAACTCTGGAACGGCGCTCTCGCTCGAGACATCCTCGCAAGTCATTCAAATTCGCGGAGGCCCAGCCACGACGACAAGTCGGGAGCCTCGAGACGGGGGTCAGAGCAGACGGGGGTCAGCCAGGGCGCCGGATCCTGCAGGATTCTGCGAAGACCCCCTCTGGCTGACCCGGGTTAGCGAGCCGCTCGTGGCCGCGAGGCGGCCGCGCATATTGGCTGACCCGGGTTTGCGAAGACCTGCGTTGCATTTTTTTTCTCCTGCATTGCAGTTTTTGGTTTCTTGCCGACCCTGGTCTGGATTGACCCGGGTCAGAAGGTCCCCGAACAAGGAATCCTGCTCGATATTTCTTCACGATTTACTCCGAGAGCCCCTGGTCAAGAAAGCTTCCAAACTCAGGAATGGCGCTCTCGCTCGAGACTTTCTCGTGGGTCCAACTACGACGACAACGGCTCTCGTTCGATCCTTCTTCAAGATGTATTCGCAAAGGCCCTTGCCAGAGAGGCCTCCGAACTCAAGAACGGTGCTCTCGCTCGAGACTTTCTCGTAATTCGGGCATGTTGGTGGAGGCCTGGACACGGCGACAAGGGCTCCCGTTTTATATTTCTCCATCTGTATTTTGGGAGCCTTTGGCCAGAGAGGCCCCAGAACTCAGAAGAACGGCGCTCTCGCGCGAGAGTTCTTCGCACTTCAGTCAGTGGCCGACCAGGAAGATATTCCCCCCCGCAAGGGGGCGCAATCGAAGACGGAGTGGGCGGGTATCGAAGGTGGGGGTACAATACAGAATGCAAGACACGCGTGCCAGTTTGAGCCATCAGTCTCAAACTGGTTGTTGTTGTTGTTGTTGTTGTTGTTGTTGTTGTTGTTGTTGTTGTTGTTGTTGTTGTTGTTGTTGTTGTTCTTGAATAGGAGTGGGCGCCAGACCCGGGCGCCCCCCCCAACAACAACAGCAACAACGCGGACGGTTTCCGCTCGAGACTTCCTCGCAATTCACTGAGGAGTTATGGATTCCTACACAGGGGCCGCGGTGCCCCCCCACCCCCCACACCCCTACGTCCTCGCATTCCCACGCCCCCAGACACCCAAAAGGCCGCCAGACACCCAAACGGACGCCCTATAGGGATCCAACTTCGGCCGTATGGACCCCCATAGGGGATCCTGCCACAGTTGTGGTAGCATCGCTACAGGCATCGTGCCAGCTGTAATCGGATCCTTCTGAGGATCCTATTACATCTGGTAGGATCCTTATATGGATTCTATTACACCTGGTAAGATCTTCATAGGAATCCTATTACTGATGGTCGGATCCCTCTAGGGATCCTATTACAGCCGGTGGATCCCTAGATCCAGCTAGTCGGATCCCTATAGAGATCCTGTTGAAGCTGGTAGGATTCCTATAGGATCCTTTTGGTAGGATCCCAAAAGGGATCCGATTGCAGCTGGTAGGATCCCTATAGGGATCCTATAACAGCTGGTAGGATCCCTGTAGGGATCCTATTGCAGCTGGGAAGATCCCTATAAAGGGTCCTAGTGCAGCTGGTAGGGTCCCTTAGGGATCCTACGACAGCTGGTCGGATCCCTTGTAGGGATCCTACTGTAGCTGGGGGGTTCCCTATATGGACCCTGTAGGATCCCTATAGTGTTTCTGTAGGATCCTTACAGGGTTTTTGTAGGAACCCTACAAGGGTATGTGTAGGATCCCAAGAGGGTTTCCGTTGGAGCCCTATAGGGTTCCTACAGAATCCCTACAGGGTTTCTACAGGAGTCGTAAAGGGCGTCTAGAAATCCTCGCTTCGCTGACGCGCACAAGCACCACTTTCGATTTAGCACCGGAGTCTTGAGGGACTCCTCTGGTTTTTTTGTTTAATCGTTCCCGGCGTTATTGTTGTTGTTGTTGTTGTTGTTGTTGTTGTTGTTGTTGTTGTTGTTGTTGTTGTTGTTGTTGTTGTTGTTGCTGTTGCTGTTGCTGTTGCTGTTGTTGTTGTTGTTGTTGTTGTAGTTGTTGCTGTTGTTGTTGTTGTTGTTGTTGTTGTTGTTGTTGTTGTTGTTGTTGTTGTTGTTGTTGTTGTTGTTTGGAGGGGGGGAGGACCCCGGGGTCCGGGGACGACTCCTGCCCCCCCATGGAACAGAGCTCAGGAGGAGCCCCGAGCGCCAGGGTCCAGGGAAGGTCCCTGTCCTTGTTGCTGTTGTTATGATTATTATTGTTATTGTTCTTGTTAGTTTGTTGTTATTGTTTTTGTTGTTATTTTTGTTGTTGTTCCTTCACGTGCTGAGTTGTTCTTAAAACATGTTGGGGACGTTGTATTCCGTTTTCGATTTTTCGTGTTGTTGTCGACCAAAACATAACGACATCGGCAATTCAACACATAAACAAAAGCGACACCGGCCAGGCCCGAAACGAGCGAAACACGGCAACCCCAAACAGAAAAAAAGACAGCAACTCAAAGCAGAAAGCAAGTGCCATCCACAGGACACATAACAAAACGGCTGTTAAACGCAGTTCGAAAACGGATGGCAAAACGAACCGACGGTCGTGAGACGGCGATCCCCCAACCGAGAAACAGCGGCTCCCCAATCAGGACAAGAGCCAGCCTGAGCGGATTGCTGAGTCGGCTTCCGGTTTCAGGTTCTGGTGTCTGTCTGCGGCCGTCCTTCGCCAAGGCCATTCGCAGCTCGCGGCGCTGGGTGTGTAGCGCTCAATTACAAGAAAGTCGTAGCGCCTGCTCCTGAGTGGGCACCCGGAATAGCGCCGTCGAACAAAACGCCCCCAGCGTTTCTCAGCACGTCGAAGTCTGCCTTCAAAGTGGGGGAATGGGAGGGGCAGTGGGTGCCGCCGGGCCGAGGGAGGAGAGGGGTCGCGCACGGCGTGCCCGGCGCAGGCGACGCGCCGCCGGAGATCTTCTGGGTGGACCCGCAGACAGGCGCTCCCTCCTCCCTCCTCCCTCCTCCCTCCTCCCTCCTCCCTCCTCCCTCCTCCCTCCTCCCTCCTCCCTCCTCCCTCCTCCCTCCTCCTTCTCCCCCTCCTCCTCCTCCCTCCGCCGCTCAGGGGCAACGCCAGTCCCGACGCAGCCATGTCCCCTTTCGGGGGCAACGATCGGGGGGATAGGCACAGGGGGGGACGCATCGACCGCCAGCCGCCCCTGGATCGCCGACGGGCCCGACAGCCCCAGCCTGCCCAGGAGGCTGCGGACTCCCTGCCGGAGGCCTGCCGCCGATCTATCGGCGATGCATCGCTGGTTCCGAGTCGATGCCTCCCCCCCCCCCATGGTCCCCGTCCCCCGCCATCGTCGCCCCTCACGCTCGTGCTCCGCGTGCGCGTCGGCCCCTCCGCGACGCGCAGGCTCAGAGCTCTTGTGGTGTAAGCTCCGTGGCGGGCTCTCTCTCTCTGGCCGTAGGGCTCGAGAGGGTGTCTGCTGTGGGATGCCCGTGCTACAGGCTCGATTCGGACGTGCGCCTCCAAGGGCGGGCGCGCTGTGCTGGCATGTCCTTTGGAGTCTCACGAGTGTTGCTGCTGCTGCTGCTGCCCCTGCTGCTGCATTTGCTGCGCACCTGCTGTCAGGTTCTGGAGTTGCCTGTCAGGAGCGCACTGCGAGCGCGCGTCTCAGAGGGCCCAGTCCAGAGGAGTGGCGCTCTGGCCGCCTTGCCGACTCGCAGCTCTGGCAGTGGCCCGGAAGGCCTCCTGCCTCTCGTGCGCCCCGTTCCCTCCCTCGTCTTCTTTCGCTGGATGAGGCGCTCCGTGTGTTCGCAGCGCTCTCTCCCTCAACCCCGTCCATTTCGTCGTTTTTGTTTCTCTCATTTTTTTCTATCCCTCTCCCTCTAACCATAGTTTCTTTGATTCCTTTCTCTCATTCTCTCATTACTTTGTCTTTCTCTCCCTCTCTTTCTTTGAGTCCCCTCGCTCGCTTTTCTTTTTGTTTTCTCTCCCTCTCTCACTCTCTTGCTGTTTCTCTCTTTATCGCCTTCTCTCTTCCTCTCTTTCCTGTTTCTTTCTTTATTTCCCTCTGTCTTCCGACTAATGTCTTTCTCTCCCTCTTTTCCTCTCTTGTCTCTCGCCGCCTCCGTTTCATGGCGTACCCAGCAATCCAGAGCACTTGATTCTGGGGTTGTTTTGGGACGCTTATCGGGCTAGGGTACTTGAGCATTGAGACTAAAACAAATAACATTTATGACACCCTTGCTGCAGAAGACCCTAAGCAGGTTTTCAAAGTTACGATAGGGGCCGCGTTGGGGGTCACGATGCGGGGCCACGATGGGGGGCCACAATGGGGGGACCGGGACAGGAACAGGGAATAGGGATAGAAGATAGGGATAAGGGTATGTATACAGGGCTAGGAATCTAGGGATAGGGACATAGGGATAGGGATAGGGACCTTGATGGGGATGGTGATAGGTAGAGGGATCTAGGATGGGGATCGGGATGAAAGGGGATAGGGATAGGGATAGAGGCAGAGAGATAGGTGTAATGATGGAGATATGGATATGGTGTGTATGCGTAGACATGATAGATGACCTAGATATACATACATGTATGTACATGTATATACTCATATATGATAAATATAAGCATACATGGTGCATCTCTCTATATATATATATATGTATACACACATATATATATGCATGTTCCCTTTTCAATATTTTTTAAATCTGGGACCCTGCGACCCCCCCCTGTAAATGGGCCCCTTCGTGGCCCCGGGGGCTCGCTGGACGCCCCTGCCGAAGGTTTCCTGGGATTGTTTGGAGTTCCTGGAAGCTCTGGGCCCAGGCAGTGGATCCAAATCATTCAGGAGGGCGGCCGAACGGCCCCCGAGGGCCCCACAAGGCCCCAAACACCCACCGGTCCAAGAGGCTTTCGAAATGGAGAAAAGCATGGATTTCAAATGGATTTTGCATGATTTTTGGAATGCTCTGTTCTTCGGTCTTTAAGGCGTCGGACTGCTTAAGAGGCTCGAACATCACGCCAAAACTATCCGAACGTCTTCCAGGCAGTCCAGGAGACCCCAAAACTTTCTAACAGGGCCCCAAGATGGTCCAAAGAGAGCCCTATGACGGCCCAAGATGGCCCCAAGACGCCTCTTGAAGCATTCCAAATCGTGACTCGGTCGTTCAGGGAGACCGAACGAAGTTGGAAGCAGGGTGGCCCGAGGAAGACCCCACATGCCCCCAGAAGGCGCTCAGGAGGTCTCCAGAAGGCCCCAAGAAGCCCTGTAAACACTTTCGTGAGGCCCCCAAGAGGCTCTCCAAGGAGGATCCTCCGCAAAAAGAGCAGAGGCGGATTGTGAATAATTCGCAGGGTCGGGCAAGAATGAGGGAGAGGAAGATGAAGCATGAGGTGAGTATCACGAACGGCATTGATGATGACGACGATGTTGGACAAGGCAACGAGGAGTTATCGTTATTTTTCTACTTTAGCTTCCTGCCCTTCCGCCGCGACTTCTGCCTGAATGCCAAACTTCAAGGACCAAGGTGCATGGCGCTAAGCGCCAATGCAATCGTGTATACATATATACATATTATACAGATTTATGGGGTAGGGGTATACATAGGGATATGGATAGGGGTAGGGATAGACAATCGAAGACAGTGGGAGGCATTGGGTGATGTTCGGAGAGAATTGAGAGACGACGGGAGACAATATGGGTGGGGATAGGGATAGGGATAGGGATAGGGATAGACAATTGGCGACGACGGGAGACAGTCAGAGACAATTGGAGACAATGGGGGCCCTTGAGAGACAATGGGAGAACGTCCTTCGGCTGATTTCGGATCGGGCAACGCACATCCTACAAGCTTCTCAGCTGGAGCTGCTGCAGGGAACATGCCAGCCGGAAAACCTGGCCCACGCAGCTAGGTCGCCCGAGGGAACGCGAAGATGGCCGCGCATGGCGCGTCGCGTTCTGGACCATGGCGGCTGCCTTCCCCCAGGGGGGCGGCGCGAGGGCGCGAGAGCGCGAAGATGATCGCGCGTGGCGCATCCTGGGGCGCGATGCGGGACGTCGGGCGACCCAGACGCGGCCTTCTCGGCCTCCCAAGGGCGCCGCCCCCCGGGCGAGCAGCGAGCGCGGCGTGAAGGCACGCGCCCAGAGGCTCTCGCCTCCCCTCCCGCCGGCCTCGGCGCAGAGGGTTTCCCGGCCCCGGGAGACCTCGGGCGGTGTGCTGCGCGCCGCGCGGAGCGACGAAGGCACGGCTGCATCAGACAGGGGCTCCGCCACGAGGGGAACGGGTACAGTCGGGGCCCTGAAGAAGGAACCCTTTTCGTTGGGGAGGGGCTCCGCGTTCCTTAAGTGTTTCACAGCTCGCCTCAGGTTTTCCTTATGTTTTCGATAGGAAATAGAAGGTTAACTTGTGGAAAAAAGGGGCCTCGTTCCTTATTTAGGGTTCCTTAGGTGTTTTTCGCGCCCTCGGCCCCTCGGGGCCCCCCTAGGGGCCCCCCTCCAGCCCCCAGCACTTCCGGAGGACGGCTCCGGAGGAGGAGCTGGTCCCCGAGGCGAAGGCCCCAGGGGCCAGGATCCGTGGCCCTCGGGCCCCGCTTCCTTCAAGTCGCACACGTGGCATCAGCAGATATTTCAGGAGGGGAAAAAACACAGACACAATTAATCGTCAATTCCCCAGAAAATATGGGAAAATATGGGAAGTGGGGGGGGAAGACAGAAACCCAGAAAAGATTGGAAAATATGGGGAATCTCTTTGTTTGTGTGTATTTATTTGTGTGTCCTGGGGGCCCTTCAGTATTGTCGGGGGTCGCCGCGTATTTTTCGGATCGGCCGCGTGGACTTTCCAAAGTTTTCGTTTGTGCAGCCAGTTGTGTCTTCTAGCTGGCGAGCCTCATCACCGTGGCGACGCCAACAGCGCGGCGTGGCCTGCAGCGGCGCGACGTTGGAACACAGCCCCAAGCTCTGGAGCGGTACGCTCGTGCTCTCCGCTGTGGGCTATCCACCCTGGAATGCTCTTCGTTTCTTGATACCTCCACTGGGCACTGGGCCTTGGGCGGGGGGGCTCACGCTCTGCACCCCCGTTCTCGTGGCCACGTCTCGACCTCGAGGCAGCACTGGGCCAGGGATGGTAAGGACTTGCAGGAGGATGGCTCTATTGAAGGCCTTACGGCTGGTGCCGCCGACCCTGAAAGAGGACGACGACGACGACGACGACGACGACGACGACGACGACGACGACGACGACGACGACGACGACGACGACGACGACGACGACGACGACGACGACGACGACGACGACGGCGACGGCGGCGACGATGACGACGACGAACGCACTCAAACACTGAAGGAAAACCATTAATTTCACACTCTTGTCTCAGGAGTGCTCTAGGGGCTATCTAGGGCCTCTTGGGGGCCTCTAGGGGGCTTCTTGGGCGCCTCTTGGGGAGGGTGGTTCCGAGGCCGATCGGGTGAGCGGTCACGGTTGCTCCGCGCAGGCCGCTTGCCGGCCCGCCTATGTCTTGGCGGCGGACGTGCCGCGCGTTCGTTTGCTCGCTCGAGGATGACGTGCTGGGCTCTCCCGCGCGACAGGCCCCCGCGCACAGTGGTGGCGGGGCGAGCGCTGGCCTTCTGAGAAGCAGTGGCGCGAGCGGTCCTCGAGGCTCCAGGAGGCTCCAGGAGCCTCCTCCTCCGTCCTCAGAGCCTCTGGACTTCTATGGCCCAGGAGTCGCTCCGCCTCCTCCTCCTCCTTCTCCTCCGTCCTACGTTCCAAGACTTCCAGGATGTTCTAGATTTCCGAAAGTTCCACACGGGCTGCAGAAGGAGGGCCGCTAGATGCCCTGCAAATCCTGGAATATATCCTGAGCCAATCGCACCATGACACCGTTCTCCTCCCAAAGAAGGCAGGGGGCGTCTGCGAAGGGCTCTTGAGAAAGCTTCATGGAGCCTAGAAGGCAGGCCTGCGGAGTGCTTCGCGCCGCGCTGATCGAAGGAGAAACGCTGCATCAGAAGTGCCCACATCGGCGGGGAACCGCATGTGGACCGTGCCACGGGGGCCTTCGGTGGAGCTATGGGGCCACAAAACCCGTGAAGGGGTGTGCCGACATGGGCGGGGAGCCGCATGTGGGCTTTGCCACTGGGGCCTTCGTGTGAGGGTTGTGCCGAAATGGGCTGGGATTCTCATGTGATCTTTGATTTGATACTGGGGCCTTCGGTGAAGCTCCCAAAGGGGTCACGAAGCGTGTGAGGGGTGTGCCGAAATGGGCGGGGAATCGCATGTGGGCTTTGCCTTTGCGGCCTTCGGTGGAGCTCCCTGTGGAGCCGCGAAACGTGTGGGGGGGTTTGCCGAACTGGGCGGGGAGCCGCAAGTAGATGTTGCTACTGTGGCGCCTCCTGCGGGGCTCCCTATGGGGCCACAAATCGTGTGAGGGGCGCCCGGATGGGCGGGGAGCCGCATGTGGTCTTTGCCCCTGGGGCCTTCGATGGGGCTCCCTATGTGGACACTAGGCGTGTGGGGGGTGTACGAGCGGGGAACCGCGTGCGAACTCTGCCACTGAGGCCTTCGGTGGAGCTCCCTATGCGGCCACGAAGAGTGTGAGGGGTGTGCCGAGATTGGCGCGGGGATTCTCATGCGAACTCTGCCACTGGGGCCTTCGATGGAGCTCCCTATGGGGCCACGAAGCGTGTGAGGGGTGCGCCGAAATGGGCGGGGAGCCGCATGTGGGCTTCGCCTTTGGGCCTTCGGTGGAGCCCCCTGTGGATCCGCGAAACGTGTGGGGGGTTGTGCCGAAATGGGCGGGGAGCCGCACGTAGATTTTGCTACTGTGGCTTTCGGTGGAGCTCCTTGTGGGGCCACAACACGTGTGAGGGGTGCTGGGATGGGCGGGGAGCCGCATGTGGACTTTGCCATTGGGGCTTTCGGTGGGGCTCCCTATGGGGCCGCGAAACGCATGAGGGGTGTGCCGACATGGTCGGGGAACCGCATGCGAACTTTGCCACTGGGTCCTTCGGTGGAGCTCCTTATAGGGACATCAGACGTGTGCGGGGTGTGCTGAAATGGGCGGGACACCGCATGTAGAGTTTGCCAGTGGGACCTTCGGTGGGGCTCCTTATGGGGACACCAGGCGTGCGAGAGGTGTGCCGAAATGGGCAGGGAACCGCATGTAGATGTTTCCACTAGGGCCTTCGGTGGAGCTCCCTTTGGGGCCACGACGCGTGTGAGGGGTGTGCCGAAATGGGTGGGGAACCGCATTTTGCCACTGGGACCTTCAGTGAAGCTCCCGATTGGGCCGCGAAGCGTGTGAGGGGTGTGCCGAAATGGGTGGGGAACCGCATGCAGATTTTGCCACTTGGGCCTTCGGTGAAGCTCCCTGTGGAGCCACGAATCGTGTGAGGGGTGTGCCGAATAGGGTGTCACGCTGGAGGGCGGAGGGAGGAGGGAGGAGGAGGGATGTGAGGTGAGTGACGCGGGTGAGGTGAGTGACGCAGGGCGCTGACTCTTCAAAACTAGGACCCACTGCCGCAGGATGGTTGGAAATAATAATAGAACTGACCCTGCGTCGTGTTCTTGTTCACGACGCGAGCATGCCTTGGAAGGGGGGTGAGGGGCGCCGCCTTTCTGGAAGGCCTCCCCCTCGAGGCAACTCCAGCCGAAATCCGCTCCAAACTGGTCGACCCCGCCACGGTTCGTTGCGATCGAAATAGGACGGACAGGGTAGGAGCGCGAATGCCGATAGCATGTCTTGTCCATTCGGAAACGACTCGCTGTCGGCGTCGCCGCGGAAGTTGTCCCTCTGCGACGCAAAAGTCGCCCGCCCAACAGACAGCGCCGCTGTCGGTCTGGGACAACCGTCGCTCTCAGACATCGTACCCATTACCCGTGCCCATTGCAGGCGTCCACCTCCTGAAACCCCAGAGATCGGCGAGTGGGTCCCCTCTTGGGCCCGGGGATCGGTGAGGTGGTCGGCCGAGGTCGCCCGGCTGCGCAGCCGCGCGGTCGCGCCCTCGGCCCTCGGGAGCGGCAGGGCTGTCGGAGCGCGCGGCGGCCTCCCCCCGGGACTTCTTCTCCTCCGCGCCCGATGCCGGGCGTCCGAGACGGCGGCGCCCGAGGCGGCAGCATCCGCAAGGAGGCGGTGCCCGGCGGTGCCGAGTGCGTGTCGATGTTGCCGCTGACGAGCCCTGGCGAGCGCCCGCCCGCCCCTCTCCCTCCTCCCCCTCCTCCTCCCCCTCCTCCTCCTCCCCCTCCTCCCCCCTCCTCCTCCCTCCTCCTCTCCCTCCTCCTCCTCCTCCTCCTCTTCCTCCTCCTTCTCCTCCTCCTCGCTGGCCGCCCTGCCTCCGGGCGACGAGGTTTACACACCGCGGACGACTCGTATGCACCGTGCCGCGTTGGCGTTTCCCAGGGCGTCACCCCAGCATACTAGTACAGTGAGCGCGTCGCCACCCGAAGGGGGGACGCGCGCGCGCGCCGAGGCGGGCGGCGCGCTTTCTGGCCATACCGCTCGGGAAAATCTAGTCGGGTCGGGCGCACGCCTCCGGTCGGGCGGGTTGTACTATATGATCTGGTCGGGCGCACGCCTCCGGGGAGAACACATCGTACTAGTATGTCCTTCCGCATCCCGCTATGCACCGCGGACGACTTGTATGTACCGTACGCCGTTGGCGTTTCCCAAGGCGTCGTCCATCCTTGACACAGGAATTGTAAGGTGCATATTTTTTTCGTCGAAGCACCGCACCGCGCTGGAGTGGGGCCTGCAGGGAAGCCAAACAAGGTACAGTGCATGGGCGCAGTTCTCGCATATACATGACACCAGAGAGAGAGAGAAACAAAAAACCCAATCAGTGGATGGCTTGAAGATTGTAGGTATGGATATCGGAAAGAGCGTGTTCTACCGCTGCTGGCGGAAAACCGGGGGGGGGTCACTACCGGTTCGAACCCCTCCCCCCCCCCCCCCTCCGGAAAACCGGGGGGGGTCACTACCGGTTCGAACCCCTCCCCCCCCCCCCCAGCTCATCATGAAAAGGGGGGGGGGTCACTACCGGTTCGAACCCCCCCCCCCCCCCTCGAAAACCGAGTGGGGGTGCGGACAGTGGTGGGGACGGTGTTGGTGGGGACAGTGGTGAGGGGACAGCGGGACAGTGGTGGGGACAGTGGGGGGACAGTGGGACAGTGGTGGGGACGGTAGTGGTGGGGACAGTGGTGGGGACAATGGTGGGAACAGGGGGGACAGTGGACAGTGGTGGGAACGGTGGTGGTGGGGACAGTGGTGTGGGGACAGTGGGAATGAGGTGGAAACACTGGGACAGTGGAGGGTACAATGGTGGTGGGGACACTGGTAAAGGCGGTGGCGAGGACGGCGGTGGGACAATGGGACAGAGGTACAGTGGGGACAGTGGTGGGGACAGTGGGGACAGTGGTGGGAACAGTGGGACAGCTCAGTGGGACAGCGGAGGAGTCAGTGGGACAGTGGGGACAGTGGGGATAGGCAGTGGTTGGGTCCGTGGAGACAGTGGGGAGAGTGGAACCGTGGTGGGAACAGTTGTGGGAACAGTGGGGACAGTGCGACAGTGGTGGGGGCACTGGTGGGGACAATAGGGACGGTGGTGGAACCAGCGGGGGCAGTGGTGGTGAGGACAGTGGTGCTGGGAACAACAGTGGGGGATGTCATGCGAGCGGTGGTAGGGACCGGGAGTCGTTTGCTGGCGGTGCGTGGGGGGGGGGGGTCGAACCGGTAGTGACCCCCCTCCGGTTTTCGAGGGGGGGGGGGGGGTTCCAACCGGTAGTGACCCCCCCCGGTTTTCCGGATCCGAGGGGGGGAGGGGGGGGAAGGGGTTCGAACGGGTAGTGACCCCCCCCGGTTTTCGAGGGGAGGGGGGGGGGGGGGAGGGGTTAGGGAGGGGGGGGGGTTTTGCCGGGAGGGAGGGGGGGGGGGGAGGGGTTCCAGCAGGGGGGGGGGGGGATTTTCGGAGGGGGGGTGGGGGAGACCCCCGGGCTCCGGAGGAAAAGGTTGGCAATTTTCCACAGTAAAGCGGCGGTGGATCACGCTCTCTCATCGCGATCGATTGTGAGATCGATAGTGATATCGATAGTGATATCGATCATGAGGACTATAGGAAGGTCGACCGTGAGACCGATGGTGAAGTCGATGCAGTGAGTTCGATCGTGGGATCGATCGTGATATCGCTCGTGCGATATATAGTGGGATCAATTGCGAGGTCGATCGTGAGATCGATTGCGGGATCGATAGGGAGATCGGTAGAGAGGTGCGTAATCATATCGATGGTCAGACCGATCGATAAGGAGATCGACCAGGAACCTAGAAACCCAGAAACCCGGGAACCCCGGACCGAGATTTCGGGAACCCGGCCGCCTACCGGATTCGGCCCGGCCCTTTCGCGAAATCTTTCAATCTCCGCTAGGACACCTTCAGTGTAAGCACTGACTGGGGAATTTCCACCCCACGGATCCGAGGCTCCGACAACATTTCGGCCTCTGCGGGCCCTCAGCGGGCCCTGGGGCCGCCCCAAAAACGACTCAGCATGATAAGCTGGCCTTTGGGAACTGGTCCAGACCTCTGGGGGCCCACGCATCGGGAAAACGTAGAGCTTGTGATGTCTGGGTGCACATAGCCACTGCCTCTGCCCATGCTTGTGCTGCGCCCACGAGAACTTTTTCATATCCTGACGATAACGGGCGTGGACGAGGGGGATGCCTAGGATTGGCTGATGCCCAGACGGCGCCGGGGTGTATCGTGACGTGACCTCAGGGGCTCAGAGGCGACGATAGGGGCGAATAGCCCAGGGGAGAGCAATACATGTATTCAGGTGCGCCGATGATCGATGTCTTCGAAAAGGCTCCCGGGCGAATACGTGTAACGCCGCCACCTGGGCTATTCGCCCCTATCGTCGCTGCCGAGGGGCAGAGGAGGGGAGGCGGGGCCAGGAACGGGCGTTATCGCGAATCTCATTGGCTCTGGAAGCGATGTATTTGCCACCCTGGCCACGCCGTGAGGGCACATGCGCAGCTCCTGGGTCCACGATATGCCTTGCCAGGGGCAGTGGATGTGTGCAGTTCTCGTTGCCCTATGCCTGCTCACGTGTCCTGGTGGCGGCTGCGACGCGGATCCACCGCCTCGCTCGGGCGGGGCCCGGGGGAGGTTCGAGGTTCGACGCTTTGGGGCATTCGAGAGTTGAGTTTTTCGTTGGTTTTTGTTGGTTCTCGGTGGTTTTCCAGCCTCGGGGGTTCTTCCCCGCACCCTCGCCTTGCCAGGCCACAGGTGCCCCCAGGGGGCTCCAAGAGGTTCCCAGGAGACCCCAGGTGCCCCCAGAAAGGCCCAGGACCGTCCAGGAGGCCCTGGGAAGCTCCGGGTCTGATCTGGTCTGATCTGATCTGAGAACCTGTGGAGACCAGGTCAAGCCTGGGCATGCTGCATCAAATCAAGCCAGCGGGAACTTACCTCCACTTTAGGGGGAAGCCCCTTCGCCAGCCTGGACAGGACCTCCTTCCTTGCTTTGGAGGGACGACGGTCAGTCTTGCACTCATGGGCAAGACTCTGAATGTTCACACTTGCATGGGCACCACAGTGCTCGCAATCCAAGAGCGGGAAGTTTCAGGGAAGCCCCATGAGGTCGCCAGAGCGCCCCAGGAACCCCCATGAGGCTCCAGGAGGCCACAGGAAACCCAAGTAGGCTCCAGGAGACACCACGGAACTTCAGAAGCCCGCCAGGAGGCCCTCGGAAGCTTCCAGAGGCCCCCCACAAAGCCGCATGCGGCCCGAGGTGATGATGATGATGATGATGATGGTGATGAGGATGAGGATGAAGATGATGATGATGATGATGATGATGATGATGATGATGATACTGATGATGATGAGGAGGAGGATGATGATGATAATGATGAGGATGAGGACTAGGACGAGCATGAGGATGAGGATGAGGATGAGGATGATAATGATGATGATGATGACGATGACGATGATGACGATGCTGATGCTGATGATGATGAGCAGGAGGAGGAGGAGGAGGACCAGTGTAAACCCAGGACTCATCAACGATATTGTAATGACAGGGTTTCTCCAAGTTCCTCTTCTTAGCCCCCTACAAGGATGCATCTTCACTGTGAAGGAAGTGCCTCGTTTGATAATCACCACTTGAACATCCTGAAGTGTGCCCGAACACCATTCTTGGGACTTCAATGCCGCGAATCACCGTTACTGTTGCGTCTCAACGATGCAGAATCGTGCCAGAACACCGTTCCTGGGACTTCAACACTACGAGTAAACGTAAGTGTTGCGTTCTGTCAGTCCGACGTCGTGCCACACCACAACTTTTGGGTCGTTAGCCGTGAGACTATTTGAGACGGCTGTAAACTCTGAAGACGAATGTACACGGCGCAAGTCGAGAGCCACATATTGAAAACAACCTGCCCTTCATTCGCGAAATCCTGCGCACTTTTAGCACGAATGTTGGCTGCGCTTAGGCGAGAACCACATTTTGAAAAGACGCCGCCCTCCATCCGCGGCATAGATGATTGTGCGCGGTGCTTAGGCGAGAGCCACATTTTGAATCTACCCCCTCCATCCGTGAAGCTCTTACAAACTTCTGCGACGAATTTGCGTCACTCAGGCAAGCGTCACATTTCGAAAACCACCCCCCCTCCATCGGTGAAGCTCTCGCAAACTTCTAAATGGATGTGCGCGGCGCTGAGGCGAGAGCCACATTTTGAGAGACCCGCCCTCCATCCGTGAAGCTCGTGCAAATGTTTAAGACGAATGTGCGCGGCGCTAACGCCAGAGCTACATTTCGATACTGACCCGCCCTCCACCCGTGTCTCTCTTTCACATATTTAAGACTGACATGCGAGGCGCTAAGGCGAGAGCTACATTTTGAACACGACCTGCCCTCCTGTTCGGTGTTTTTTGTTGCACATTCTTAAGACGAATGTGCGCGGCGCTGAGGCGAGAGCCACATTTCGATTCCGAGCCGCCCCACATCCGTGAACCATCTGCACATGTTGTTTCAGGATCATAAGCTGGAGACGGAGGAGGATGAGGAAAAGGACTACGACGATGCTGCTGATGATGGTGATGATGGTGTTGCTGCTGCTGATGATGATGCTGATGTTACTGCTGATTATGATAATGATGCTGATGAAGATGAAGACGATGATGACGACAATGACT